CTTGGTCATTAATTTGGGGATGATATCCAGATGTGAGACTCACATTTATGTCAATTGCTTACAGAAGCCTCTCCAAACCTGTGATGTAAATTGTGTGTCTCGATCACTGACAATATCTTCTGGTAGTCCATAAACTCTGAACACATGTTGGAATAAAGCTTGAGCGGTTTCCATGGCTGTGGGTAAACTTGGTAATGGGACCAGACGACATGGTTAAAGAGCCCATATTATGGGTTTTTGAAAATTCCCCTCCATGTAGTGTGTAACACAGCTCTAAGTGAAGTGAAGTATCCAGCTAAGGCTTAAATCTGTAAGAATACAGTGTTTAAAACTGTTGATTCATCTATAAAAGAGTCGACTCATAGTGCTTCAAACGAGTCGCCTTGATACCGATTCATTAGGTGTTTCGCCATGACGTACGAACAAAACTAAGTTATTCACGTGCAAGCGCAAACCCCGGGAGATTTCAAACCTGAGGCCCCGCCCTCTGACGCAGAAACCCAGACACACACACACACACCCACAAACATGCCGGTCGATTGAAGTCACACTGCAGATGGATTTATTGAGTCTCTACCCAAAGATGAAACCTCAGCATTATAGCCAAGCAGTTGAAAACTACTGGAAACTTCTGGAAACTACATGCTACAAAGAATACTTCATCAGCGTTTGTTAAAGGAAGGATCAGTTAAGAGTAACTTACTGATGGACGTCAGGATGGATTTTTCTTCCTCCATTTCTCAAGTGTAAGTATGTGCGATTAAAGTTGCCTCGTTGACTCTAGATGGCAAATGTATTTAGTTGTGATTTGTTACTTGTAACGGCGTGTACTGTATCAGGTTAACTGGCTATATTCTCTTATCGCGTGCAAAGTCACGTTAAAAATGCGATGCGTGCTGCTTTGTTAACGGACCTCCGTGGACGAGGAGTAGTATGTGTGTCTGTGTGTGCGTGTGCTGTCGTCCGGAGGTGTGTGTGTTTGTGTGTGTGTGCGCGCGCGCGTTGTCGTCCGGAGCAGGGTTAAGTGCTTGTGTGTGTGTGTGTGTGTGCAATATGTGTGTGTGTGTCTGTGAAAAGAGCAGAGTGAGAAGCTAGGAGATCTCCTCAACTGTTTTTGGAGTTTTTGCTCAATAAAATAGTTAGTTGTCTGAATTTTCAAGTCCATAGTCTGTATTTACATTGAACCACTGGCAGCTAAAATCCACGCCTACACTATCGAGCGTGTATGAACTGTGATTACTTTTATATTGCTGATTAGCTGTTTGGCATTTCACTCTCTGACTGAAGGCAGTCGACGAATCGCAACAGACTGTCATTGGTCCAATCAGCGCAGATTAGCTTAGCGCTAAGGAGGGGTTTGGGAACAAATGAATCACTGGACGATTCATACAGGAGTCGCTGGAATAATTAGGTAAAAATAAATGCAGATTATAAGACCATGAAAGTGTTTTTTGACCTTGCATGCATATTAAACTGTTGTTGGAGACCCTTACAACCAAGATATGACCCTATTTCATGTATAATATGGGCTCTTTAACAGAATGGTGGTGAAATTGTTTGATGGAGGTAGGTCAGTGATGAAGTCGATGGAAAGATGGGACCGGGCTGTGGAATGGTTTGAGGAGGCTGATGGTGTCGCCATCCTGCAATAGCCTCCTTCTTTTAGAGTAGTTCTTTATTACCCACATTATAGTTGCATTATGCAGAAGTCAGCTTTCTTGAAAAGAACGCACATGGGTGCAGTTTACCTGGTGTTCCTTTGTGACAGCCCTGCTCCTATGCCCAGATCTGAGGCATCAACCTCCAAAATGAAAGGTGAGTTGGGGTCAGGATGTTTAAAAATGGAGGTGTGGTGAATCTTTCCCTTTAAGGCACAGGTGTCAAACTCAGTTCCAAAAGGGCCGCAGCTCTGCACAGTTTAGTTCCAACCCTAATTAAACACACTTGATCAAACTAATTGAGTCCTTCAGGCTTGTTTGAAACCTTCAGGTAAGTGTGTTGGAGCAGGGTTGGAACTAAACTGTGCAGGGCTTCGGCCCTCCAGGAATTGAGTTTGACACCCCTGCTTTAAGTCAATGAATGCCCGTTTAGCTTCATCAGTCCATTTCAACGTCTTGTGTTTTTTCTTTAGTAATGATGTCATGTGTGATGTTACGGAACTGTAATTGCAGATGACCCTCCTGTAAAAGTTTGTGAACCCCCAAAATACTGGGTACTGGCCCTTCTGAGACTGTTTGGACCTTGAGTTCATCCATTCGCACTCCATTATGACTGATACAACAAAATAATAGTTTACATTAAAATAAACACAGACATGTCTTCTGCAGAAGCATACCTAAATTCAAACATTTTTACAAAAGGTAAAGAATAAAACCCTTTCTGTACCTGTAGAGATGGATGGTCCTCAGTGCTGCATCCTGTGTCTGCATGTGCAGCTGCTGGTGCCTCTGGAGCAGAGCTGGATCATGCCACCTCATCTTCTTTTCAGACAAATTTTAGCATTGAACCTCCATGTACAATACAGAAGAAATTAGTAATTTAAAGAAAAACTCATGACATACCATTAAGATAATGGGTTAGTCAAGCACTCTTCATGTCTAAACTACAACCAAAAATGTGGATTTAACCTGCACTATAATCTATAGTGACAAAAACTGACTCTTGCTTTCAGTATAAATCAAAGGCATTTGTGGTTTTTAAGAATTAAAAAGTGCATTTTTAAACAAAAACTTTGTTATCATTCAGAAAAATAATCATTAATGAATTCATGCAATAGAAATGGTTTATGGCCTGTGGTTTACAGTAATTTGACTCGTATATTATTAGTCTTTCAGAAATCACAGAATAATAGTCAGTTTTGTTATTTTATATTGTAATGTACAAAAATAAAAAAAATGGCCTATTAAATACACACAAATACACCGATGTAAGGACTAAAGAGACTTTGGCATTGCAACGTGTTACGGCAAGCTCGCTCCTGACCGTACCATAAAAAGGATCAGATACACAAAAAGGTTTATAAATGAAATAAACATTTATTAAAGGGAATAACAAAGTATAACAAACTGTCTAGGAATTTGAAATAAATAAGTCAGCTAAAATCCTATAAAAAAAACTAAAAAAACATAAGACGGCAACACAAGAGTTGGAACAAAATGACCTCTCTGTGGAATAACGGTCCACCAGAGGAAGTGCCGTTCTTCACAAAATAAATAAATAAATAAAAATCACATATATACATTCTCTAAATTAACTAATTAACTGTGATGTCACACTGCGAGGCCACCGAAAGGTAAGAAAAAAGACAGGGTCGTAACAAACGATACAATGAAATTCAGAAAACTTGGCAGCTCTCGGAAAGAACAGCAGTTATAAGAAATGTATAGAAATAGACAAAACAATAAAAAAGATAACTGCCGAGAATTATAGAATATAATAACTATATAATAATTAATAATACATACAGTAAAATAATTGTGCAGTGCATGTGTATGTAGCTGGAGTGCAAACAGAAATGTAAAGTATTGCACAGTTAATAAAAATAATTGAGTTTGTGTAATTATCAGCAACATGGGGAAGAGTGGCAAACGTGAAAAGTCATAAAAGCTTGTTTAAAGCACAATGCATAGCAGCAAAGCAAGAAACTGAACGTAAACAACAACAAATCAGGCAGATTTGTGCAGTTGTGGCAAAGTTTAAATGTCAGCCTTACTAATTTACTTGAACCAAAAAAAATAAATGTTTTCCAGATTCTTTTTTTTTTTTGAGCAACCAAAATGGTGCCCCCATCCGGAGTAGGTGCCCTTCGCCACCTGCGTACTCTGCGTATAGAGAGCGGCAGTACTGATTACAACCAATATAATATGTTGAGTAATGAATAGTCTTAGATGCAAATACTAAGGAAATAAACTTAGCTTCACAGATCGCGATGATGCCGTTAGGATGAGATTTAAAAACTGGCGCCTACATTTGCGCTGTCGTGACACGCACATCTGATTGGTTGAAACATTGTATCAATTGGTTGAAACGTTGTATCATAAGCTCCACCCTTGTTGACCGTGGAACACTTAGAACTCTGGACGTGCCCCTTCATTACTCCATTATAGTAATATTTGTATTTATTTACTATTACTTTGGTCAATTTATTTAAAAAAACAGAGAAAAATGTACAGACTTCAAAAACAACACATTTAAATTGCGATATTAAATAAAAACATACAGAAATAATTTAACATTGTTTTTTTGGTAACAGAAAAAATCTGAATTTAGCAATATAAACTGCAATAGTGTAATGCATGATATTTTACAGATGAGCCTAAATTTAAAAGTATGCTGCCTTTATACGTTTTCTACAAAAGCAGCAGTAATAAGACAGCCACAGCACAGATAAAACCTGGCTTTATTGAACAGAGCGTCCAACATTCACAAAACCGGTACGAGGACGCCCTCTTGTGGAAACTCAACCACATAGACGGTTTGAGTTTTTTTTTCTTTTGCTTGCAGATGATGTACAATATAGTTTACCTTTAAATAATTTCTAAATGGGAAAGTGCAGAAAAACGACACGACATCTGCATCTAACATATTGTATACGTTATTGTATACAAACATATAATAGTCTTAACAGAGACTGACTGAAAAATATATATATATATATATATTTTAGAAAATATAGCTCAAATCTATAGCTGACAACACATGCAAACTCTGCAGTTTCTCTTTTCGCTAGATCTGTGTTCTTCAGTGTCAAAAAGTTTATAGGGGATTCTATGCTCTTTGCTATGATGACTGAACATGTGAGTGACGACATTAGGAAATGTAAACAAATGCCAAAACTGTCCTCGCAGCAGGATTCACTCTAAATATTACGAACAACTGCACAGGCCATCTGGATGAACATTTTATTCTGCTAACTCATGATGATTTGCTAAAACATTCAGAGTTACAGGTTGTCTATGGTTGAGAGCATTTGGTGGGCGTTGCTGGAACAGACGACAAACACTGAGTTCTGCAGTCGGTTTCGTCGACTGAATCAGATTTCAACCTTTCGTTTCCATACAGCGCATAAATCTAAGATTCAGCGGTGCGGTAAGTGCATTATTGCAAAGTATAACCTTTGAGAACGCAGTGTGTTTTGGTCCACAGCAGCTCACTGCTAAGTTACTTCACCGAAAACATGTTTTTGTGACTTTTTTTTTAACACAAGTTGAATGTAGTTTCATAATTCAATCACGTGACTCATTTACAGATTTCTTATGAAAAAGGTTTGTGAGAATGTGGAGGATACACATGATTTTGAGTAAAAATGTCAAATATTTAGTCTTACACAATACCACTATTGTATTTCGGATTCTGATGATCGATAGATTAACGATTTTACACAGTTGTGTAAAGTGAGTTGTGGACTTTAAACATGCTCAACGTTAAATATGCCTGTTTACTCAGGGAAAGTCTATTAATGTTAGTATGTTATTGTGGTTTTCGCGACCTTGCTGAAAAATCCAGCTTAAACCAGCCTTGGATGGTTGGTTGGTTTTAGCTGGTCAACCAGGCTGGTTTTAAAGGGGTTTTGACCACTTCCAGGCTGGTTTCCAGCCATTTCCAGCCTGGTTTTAGCTGGTCAGGCTGGGAGATGACCAGCTAAAACCAGCTTGACCAGCCTAGCCAGGCTGGAAGCCGAGCCAAAACCAGCTATGTCCAGCTTAAACCAGGATTGGTCAAGCTGGCTTTAGATGGTTTTAGCTGGTCACTTTCCAGCCTGACCAGCTAAGACCAGGCAGGAAATGGGTGCAACCAGCCTGGAAGTGGCCAAAACCCCTCTAAAACCAGGCTGGTCGACCAGCTAAAACCAGCCAACCATCCTAGGCTGGTTTAAGCTAGATTTTTCAGCAGGGGAGCCATTTTTTTGACATCCTGAAGAAACTATCATTATGAAAATGCACTATAGTTTTAAAAACAAGACAAAACGTAGTTAAATAATGCTTTTGTCACATTAACAATAGGATAACTACAGTATTTTATTGTGCAAATAGTGGTTCTTGGTTCATACACATTTACTATAATAAAACCACCATTTTCATGAAAATACACGCTTATTAACATTCTCTAATGATTATTTTGGTCTTATTTGATGACAAAGAATGTTTTCTTATACCTAAAAGTTGTTAGCTTCTTGTTTTTTCATCTGAATCTTTGTTATAGCCTACCCCCAAAACCAAAATAACACAAACACAATAGTTTCATAAAGATAAAATAATATTATTTTATGTTAATAGAGTTAAAATTATGTTAATAATGCAATGTAAAGAGTTCTCCATGTCATGATTAGGCTAAAGAGTAAACCTGTTCATTGCCAGTTACAATTAGTAAAAACTTATTCTGGGTTTATAATTTTGTTTAACTCACATTGCCTTTAAGGTTATAAACTGTTACTTTAAATGTTTAATACTAACTGAACAATCAATAAGTTAACACCCAGTGTCTTTAGTAAATGGTGTACATTTGGCTTCCATTTAAAATTGTGATAGAAAAATATGTATCACAAACTTTTAGATCATAGTAAATAAGTGATTAATTTACAATTTTCCTTTCAAAAACAGATGGCAAATGAAGCGAAGCCCTGTCCGTGTGATATCGGGGACAAGATTGAATATGGAGGTGTTGGAGAGGAAGTTCAAATCGAGCACATTAAAGCGTATGTGGTGAAGCCTCCAGCATCAGAGAAGGCCATTATTGTAATTCAAGACATTTATGGATGGCAACTTCCAAACACCAGATACATGGCGGATATGCTCTCATCCAACGGATACATGTAAATATCCATTTATATCATTATAAATATTCTAATTGTTCTGGAAATCCCTTTTCTTACTTGATTATGTTGCATTTGCAGTGCTATATGTCCTGATTTCTTTGTTGGGAAAGAGCCTTGGAGCCCATCTCACGACTGGTCAACATTTCCGCAATGGCTTGAAGACAAAAAGCCTACAGAGATCAAGAAGTACAGACACAGTTCATTGAAATGATATTATTTGATGCACTCAAAGAAAACAGTAATCGGTTTTGTCTTTTGATCAGGGAAGTAGATGTTGTGTTGAAGTACCTGAAGGATCAGTGCGGTGTGAAGCGGATAGGTGTTGTGGGCTTTTGCTGGGGTGGCGTTTCCACACACTACATTGCTCTTCAGTATGAAGAAATCAAAGCTGGCGTCTCCGTCTATGGTAGTGATTTTTTGTCTACAAAAACTGTCAAGCACAAAATTTTGAAAACAATCAAAGCTAACATGTATATTAATATATATTTTTAAAAATCCTTTTATCCAGGTATTGTTCGAGAACGAGAAGACAGGTTTGATCTGAAGAGTCCAACACTTTTCATCTTTGCAGAAAATGATGCAGTCATCCCACTAGATCAGGTATGGTCATTTAATTTTACATATGTAAACTACACTCACCAGCCACTTTATTAGGTACACCTATCCAACTACTCGTTAACGCAAATTTCTAATCAGCCAATCAAATGTCAGCAACTCAATGCATTTAGGCATGTAGACATGGTCAAGATGATCTGCTGCAGTTCAAACTGAGCATTAGAATGGGAAAGAAAGGTGATTTCAGTGACTTTGAACATGGCATGGTTGTTGGTGCCAGATTGGCTGGTCTGAAAAACTGCTGATCTACTGGAATTTTTATGCACAACCATCTCTAGGGTTTACAGAAAATGGTCAGAAAAAAAAAAAAACTAGTGAGCAGCAGTTCTGTGTGTGCAATTGCCTTGTTGTCCTGTCAGTTTAAAAACTATAAAATGAGGCTACAATTCACACAAGCTGACCAAAATTGGACAATAGAAGATTGAAATAACGTTGCCTGGTCTGATGAGTCTCAATTTCTGCTGCGAGATTCGGATGGTAGGGTTATAATTTGGAGTCAACATAAAAACATGAATCCATCCTGTCTTTTATCAACGGTTCAGGTTGGTGGTGGTGTAATGGTGTGAGGGTACTTTCTTGACACACTTTGGGGCCATTAGTTGCACTTGAGGATCATGTCAACGCCACAGCCTACCTGAGTATTGTTGCTGACCATGTCCATCCCTTTATGACCACAGTGTAACCATCTTCTGATGGCTACTTCAAGCAGGATAACAACTCAGACTGTTTTTTTGAGCATGACTTTGAGTTCACAGTACTTAAATGGCCTCCACAGTCACCAGAGCTCAATCCAATAGAGTACCTCTGGTGTGTGGTGGAATGGGAGATTCGCATCATGGATGTGCAGCCAACAAATCTGCAGCAACTGTGTGATGCTATCATGTCAATATGGATCAAAATCTCTGAGGAATATTTCCAGTACCTTGTTGAATCTATGCCACAAAGGATTATAGCAGTTCTGAAGGCAACTAGTAAGGTGTACCTAATAAAGTGTAGATTAAGATTAGATATTCATACAGGTGGACCTAATAATAAACTATTACTAATAAAAATTAATATTTATTCACCAACTTAACTACAACTAATATAGCAGTATTTGTAGCATCATGGTATAGTTAAAATACAATAATAGTTTACAATTTTATTTTATAATATGCTTTCATTTGAATTTCAGCAGGTAAGAAAAATAAACGAGCTAAAAGAATTTTATGAACCCAGTGTGTAAAAGAAATAAACCCTTCTCAGGGCCAATAAACTTTGTACTTTCATTCAGTTTTTTATTGTTCCCTTAACTAAGGTGACGACACTAGAGACAAGACTGAAGGAAAAGTGCACTGCTGACTTCCAAGTGAAAATCTTCCCCAAACAGACACATGGCTTTGTCCATCGCAAGAGAGAAGACATCAACCCTGACGACAAACCCTACATAGAGGAAGCAAGGAAGGATATGATCAACTGGTTGAACAAGTACATGTAAATTGCAGGTGAAAGTTAAGTGATAAAAATCAGTTGACTACCCCAGAAAGCTTTTGCACGTCTGTATTTGAGCTAAGACGCTAATTAAAATGACAAACAGGACACTAATTTGAAAACAAAAGTTTAATGATCACTTCGTTACGACAATGAACTGTAACAAATGATAAATAACAGTACGAAGGTTCGACACATTCCTTTAGAAGTGCTTGAGACCGTTCATTTCAACACTGCTACAGGACGCTCAGTCTTCAGGCTCGCCGGGGCCTCTGATGTCATCAATCTTCAGAATCATCTTTACAACTTGAGTGGCCAGAGAGATCTGCTGCTTCTTCCCGATAAGGGTCTCGATTACATGCTGCTGCTTCATGTCTGCAAAAACCAAAAGTCTTTTTTTAATGTCAAATATAATAAATCAATTTATCAATTTAAAACTCGTCAGATAAATGCAATTATTTATATTATTGGCAAAAGTTTAAACTAGAACACACAGCAATTTTGGGATAAAGTGCATCACTTTCTCTACAAAGATATTACGTCACAAAGGTTTCTCAATGATAATAGAAAATATTTCACCAATGTTGTACATAACTGTACATTGTACATAAATATTAGATTCAAATTTAAAAGATGATGTCTATTCTGATTTTTGTACACAAAACTCATTCATCATGCGTAATTCCCTTCCATTTTATTGTTTGCTTATTTACAATAAATCACTAATTTACAATAAAAAGTCCATACCATTCGTTGATAAATGTAGACAGTCAATTCCAAGTGCAGAGTTGTTTTCTTTGACTTGTCGGGCTCTGACCTCCGTCATTGTCTGAATGGGGTTCAAACCGCTGTTTTCAGCCAGTGCCATTGGGATGACCTCTAGAGCGTCAGCGAATGCCCTCATGGCGTACTGCTCCAGAGACGGGCACTGAACACAAGACAATCTGCTCAACAAAAACATCCTGTACCTCAGAATTAAAAGCATAGTCGACCGCAGAAATAGCATACCTTATCAGCAGCTTCATTAACCGCAAGAGCGCAGGCTATCTCTGAGGCTCCACCACCATACACGATACGATTATCCCTCACCAGGTTACGGATGACACACAGGGCATCATGAAGAGCTCTTTTGGCCTCTTCAATAATCTAAATGATTTGGATGAACAGCAGATAGGAAGGACAAAAAGAGAAAGATATAAAACATGTACTTTCTTTGGGTGACAAACATCCATGTTTAGCACTAAAAATGTACCATTTTGTTCCCGCCACGGATGAAGATGGTAACGGCTCTGGAGTTCTTGCACTCCTCGATGACCAGCATTCTGTCTTTTGTGGTCCCGAAGCAGATTTCTTTCACCAGTCCAGCGGTGCCCAGCTTTTCTGGGGTCAGTTCACAGAATCTGGGTACTATACGTCCTCCAGTAGCAATGGCGATGAGCTGGAAATGTTTGCAGAAATTCATTGTTTGTTACTCATTTGTGTTACAGATGGAGAGATTAAATAGAAAACAAATTGCTACGCTTATTCAGCATTAGACTGATCAGACATGAGATTAAAGCCTGCATGAACCTGAAGCTGCTGAGAAATATTTTACTATGTTGATGTATTTCAGACTAAAATGGAATATTGAGTAGGGGAAGTGCTTTCTTTTTGTGCATCATTGCCTTGTAGGAAACTAACGGTAATCAGTTAAGCTAATCAGATTCACCAGAGAAAGACCACCACACCAAATGCTAAAGTAAATGGTCAGACTTTGATTTAAGATAACAAAAATCAACATAATTGTTTCAGAGGATTAACTTGTACAGATGAATTGTTTCCCTAACAAATGTGGGCTAGCAAAATGAACATGGTAAATTTAGATTTCACACAGACTTTAAAGATTTAAATTTTGACTAAAGATTTTCATTTCTAACAAATGGTGTTATCCAAAGATAGATAAACTACAGGGTATATACAGGTAGAGAATGAAATTCAGTGACTTAAGACCTTTTTAAAGACTTTGTATATACATTAAGACCTCATCATTGACATTTTACCGTTCAGTGTTTTTACTAAATACTGATCGTAAGAAATTAATCCTAAACAAACATTATTCATATACTGAATAAAAATGCTGATCCAGCAGGTGGCGCCGAGAGAACAAGAGGAATAAGTGTTTCCCTGGTTACTACAATAAAGAAAGCAGTGATGTAAAATCTAGCAGGATTGTATTGATTTCCAAAAAATTGCACAACACCACAATATTCAATTATTAAATTCATGCAAACGTTAGCATATTGTTACAAAACGTAATACCTTGTAAAATTAATATTTTTTAATACTTTAAGAGCCTTAAATTTCTCTAAATGGATCCAACTTTTAATACTTTCTAGGACCCTGCAGACAACCTGAACTAGCTGATATTAGTAAAAACAATGAATGAATTAATTTAAATGAATAAACAGCATACAACTAATTTCTTGAATGTCACAGAATGATTTCTGAAGCATTATTTTACCCTAAAGACTGCGGTAATACCTGCTTAAAATCAGCCGCCATCACAGGAATAAACAAGATTTTCAAATGCATTAAAATTTATTTATTTTAAAAACGATATAATATTTCATAATATAACATTATTTACTGATCAAATAAATACTGTATTGACAATAAGACACTTATTTCAAGAAACATTTTTAAAATGCCAACCCCAGCAGTAGTGTATTGCGTTTAGTTCTTACAAACCTCAATCTCAGGTCCACCGACCCAGCGGATCGCAGGAAGCTCATTCTGCAGGAGTAAATGATTGGCCTCGTCGTCAAATCCCCACTGGCAAATGGCAAGATTGGCGCCATTCTCCTTGACCTTAAGATGAATTGTAAAGAAATTAAAGTAGAAGATTAAGTAACATTTTTCTTGAGAAAATTGAAGTAATGAAAAAAAAGTGCTGTAGCTTTAAAATAGCTCTTATTGCTCAAAATTAAAGATTGATGCTTTACTGAGGCAGGCTATTATGCAAATTAACAAAATAATAACAATAATAATAATTAGCATTTGTCATTTTTAAAAAGTACTTCCATACACTTTAACACACTTTATTAATGTTACATTTAAATGTATAGATTTTTTTTTTTTACATATATTGCTTAACACGTTTCATCTTTGACCTTAATAATAATAATAATAATAATAATAATTTGTAATAAAGAATGAAACAATTACATCCATATAAAATAAAAAATAATAATTTAATCAATATATCTGCATAAAGCCTGGTTTATACTTCTGCGTCAAGTGACCAGCGTAACCCACGGCGCATGCAATGTGCGTAGTCGTGCATTTATACTTCTGCGCGCTGTCTCTGTTGGTCAGCATTAACACTTCCGAAACGCTAGTTGGCAGTGAGGTGTTAATGTTCCTCTGTCTTAAGTTTCTTCGCTGGAGTTTTGCTTTTCCTGAACACTTCCTGTATGTACAAGTGGCTGTACTCATTTTGAGGCAGGAACCGGCGGACGTGCAACAACTTTAACTATGAGGTAAACACAAAACAACTTTCCATCTGGAGCTCCTTCATGGGACTCCACACTTGTAAACAATCGCTCCACTGGGCTCGCGCCGCTCGCATGGCTCTCAGTCCTGCCCAGACTCGTCAGCTTTACCAAGCCGACCAATCACAAAGCTTGCGATACGCGTCGATGCGACGTGTAGTTACATTTTTTGAGAGGCGCACGTCAGCGACGCCGACGGCCAGGGCTATGCGTTAACACCGAGCATACACATGCGTTTGAGGCAGAAGTATAAATCAGCCTTAAGAACCGCAAAACAAAAGCAGGCAATATACAAACCTGTCGGATCATTTCCTGAAACTTGTCCTTCTCGTACTTCTGCAGAGCTTTATAATCCTCCACTGATGTCACATCAAGCTTATGCTTGGTTTTGGGCTTGGGAGGCTCAAATGGGCAGGTGAGGATGGCAATTTTGGTGTCTTTGAGCACCTGGAAGAATGCACTAATAAATAAATAACCTAAAATATTAGAACCAGAGCATGCATGAAATGAACATTAACACTAAACACAAACCTTGGGCATCTGAGGGTGACTGAACTCTTTGTCCACAATGACACCTTTGATGAGCTGAGTGTCCTCTAGTTTACCACCAACCTTTCCTTCCACTTTAATGAGCTCAAAGTCCACATCCTTCCTCTCCATGTCTGCCACTGTCAGAATGGCATTGACAGCAATCTCTGCCATCTGTCTGTGGCACCGGTTGATCCTATAAACCAGGAAAAAATATTAATAATGAATATTCTCAGTAATTATCTGGTCAAATCAAACACGTAGTAACAGAAAAACTCACACTTTGGATCCTAGTGTGGTCATGGCTGTCTGAACGAGAGATTCTGTGTTGTTAGGATCCACAGGGAAACTATCACCGATTTTGTCGAGCTGTTCGATGGCGATCTTTGCGGCCTGATCATAACCATCTGCAATTCTGATGGGGTGAATGCCTCGGTCTAACAGCTGCTCTGCCTGCTCCAGAAGAGCTCCGGCCAGAACTACAGGACAAAACAAACATTACAGTAACTCAATAAGCAAGAAAATAAGACTTCAATCTGCTTGTCAATCGTGACGTATGAAATGTTTCCGGGTCCAAGCCACTACACGTTAGAATTGACAAAATATTTGTTTATGACCACTTTTTCAGTCATATTGAAAATAAAAGTGAATTTTATATGAAATCACGGTGTACACAACGGTCTCTGGACATGCTGCATCACAAACACCAATATTTAACAATTTACAAAAAATGTATTACTTTCTGATCATCGAATATTAGGCATGGATGTATTTATATATACACACTGCGATTTAGATTTTTTTTTAAAGTAAAAAATCACGTGAAAGTAAAGCCGCTTCACGTAAAGTCACACTTAACAAGCGGACAAACATAGTACATAAACACTTTTTACATTTAGGAATATGAACTATAGCCTACAGGTAGGCCTGCATGAAATCAACATGTCAAGCATTACAATAGTAAAAGTGTGATACAGCTTTAAATTGTTCTTTCTCTCTACATTTAAATGTACCCTGCTCAATTTTATTGTTTTTATTTTTTTTTTTTTACCATTATTTAAGATTTATTTCTTGTCACATCAGTAACAGTAATAAAAGTAACATATTACATATTGACAACTACATGCAGCAATAAGAGAAAACAAAACATTAAATATGATTTTTTCATTCTCCACTATATGGAGTAAGATTACAATATTATTTCACCAGTGGTTTTTATCAATTACTTGACAATTTAATTCAAACAGCAAAACAGTACGTCTTGCGTATAAACCTACATACACCTACTTATACATTCAATTTAGCCTTGTACTAATTTAATTACTAAAGTCCTTCATGCTATAACGAGTAAACACAAAACAAGTAAGAATAATTCATTAAAAAATAATTAGGGTGACATTTATATCTTAGAACATTTTCCCCCATTAAAGTGTCCAGTCTAGAAAAATGTTTAGCAGTTTTAGAAGCCTGACAAGAAATGATTAACTGTATATGCTTTACTATAATATTCAGATATGAAGTCAGAATCATTAGCCCCCCTTTGAATTTTTCTTTTTTTTTTCTATTTACTAAATGATGAACAGAGCAAGGAAATTTTCAGTGTTTGATATTTTTTTCTTTTGGAGAAAGTCATGTTTGATTTATTTCGGCTAGGATAAAAACAGTTTTTAATTAAAAAAAAAATATTTTAAGGTCAATATTATTAGCCCCTTAAAGCTATATTTTGTTTTAATACTCTACAGAACAAACCATCATTATACACTAACTTGCTTAATTACCCTAACCTGCCTAGTTAACCTAATTAACCAAGTTAAGCATTTAAATGTCACTTTAAGCTGTACAGAAGTGTCTTGAAAAATATCTAGTATAATATTATTTACTGTCATCATGGCAAAGATAAAATAAATCCGTTATTAGAATTGAGTTATTAAAACTATTGTTTAGAAATGTGTTAGAGATTTGTTAGAAATTGTGGTGTTAGAAATTTTATCTCTGTTAAACAAAAATTGGGCAAAAAAATAAACAGGGGGGCTAATAATTCAGGGGAACTAATAATTCTGACTTCAGCTGTATATTGTACATAAAGTATAAATATTGTAAATAGCATCCATATATCATATTAAAGTAAAGCATATATATCATACTTAGATCTGTAAAAGGACCTTTTATTATTAGATTTTGTATAAGCTGGGTCATTTCCCATAGCATATCATCTCCAGAACAGTATGCACACATGCTCATTTTTGTAATGGCACATAAAATGTACACACAGCTTGGAAAAGAGGATTTTTAAATTTTTTCTAATGTGCATTTCAATGTATTTGTAAGGCTGTACATTTATCCATGTTTATATACGAGCAAATCAATGCATTTAAACAAAGACAGAAAGAAAATGCTCTTGCTAGTGTTGTGGTTGTGTTTTAAAAGGGGAGAAGAAGAATATCAAGCTAAGCTCACCAACAACACCAGTGGTTCCATCTCCAATTTCATCATCTTGAGACTTGGAGAGCTCAACCATGAGCTTGGCAATCTGATGGTCCACATCCATCATGCTGAGGATCGTCGCACCATCATTGGTCACGGTCACCTCACCATCCTTATCCACCATCATCTTGTCAAGTCCTGTAAAGAACATTTACCAGCATTAAAAAAAACAGCATGAAATAAACTAGGAAGAGTACATGCAAAATTAAAAACATACCATTTGGACCTAGCGATGTTCTCAGGGTGTTAGCAACTGCTTTTGCTGCAAGAATGTGAGACTGAAGAGAACAGAAATAACATTGATGTCAGTAGATGCCACGCCAAGCTTATGCTTGGTTTTGGGCTTGGGAGGCTCAAATGGGTAGGCAAGAATGGCAATTTACGGTTTTAAGGGAAAGATAATGTGCATTTCTGGTAGAATATCTTATATAAATTTAATGTATATGTATGTATGTATATATAAACTAAAAATTTGTTAGTAAGGCGTGTCTCAAATAACAACCCAATCCTCTTTATAGGATTTTTGTCAAATAATAGAACTGAAACTATCATTATAAAACAAGGCAAGACACTGCAAGCCCCCAAAAAACACAACAAAAACATGCACCTGTCCGTTTAGAAAAGTTTGGCTTTTTGCAATTCTTTATGCAATCAAACAATTGGGGGAAGTAGAGTGATAGCTATCATCATTACTTATTTATTAACAACATTCAACTGAAGTATATTGCCACAAATAAAATGTGATGAAGACATGTCTGATGAATGAATGAAGGCATTGCGCATTATGACTCGACGTCTTTAGACTAGACTAGAGGAAGCACATGGACCATCCCTTGACATGCGCACATTGTTGATCACGTTAGACAAATAAATGTGCAATAACTGAATGCATTCTTAACATGTCAGACTGCAGAAGTACGTTTTCATAAAGAATCAATCTACAGTATACAGTAAATGCGGTATTCTGGATTACAGATATGATTAAAATCTCCGTTATAGCCCATTAGCCCGTTAGCTTTTGTAACGTTACCTTCAGTGCTTCCAGGCCAGTCAAGCGAGATTTCTTGTCCTGGTCCTTTATGATGATGAAAGGCCTTCCATATTCATCGAAGGCGAGAGTCCCAAGCGCGGACATGTTTAATTTCCACCCCAAAGAAATGCACAGTTATGAAAAGTGATGTTATACTAGAGAATTTAATCCTCTAGCTGCGCACCTCACCGCGCGGATCTGCCGGCTAGTTCTGGAAGAATCTCGGGGAGGGACGGACCAAACCAAGTTGACAATGTTAAAACATCCACATTTTTGTACATTACATTACCATTTAATCCCTAATTAAATAACAATATTAAACATTTAAGACAATTATGAAGGAGAAAAAGCAATTAACGAATCTTTAAATAATTTTTTTAAATTGAAGCATATTAATGGTTTATTCCATTCTCGCGATAACGACAACAAATAACGCGAGTGCGGGTACAGATTTATAATTCATGCAGATTGACTAACAAATAGACGTTACAAAATTGATTTGTGTATGTGCACACGTACAACTTGTGTATTTGAGAAAGGCCATGTGCTCGTCGTTGGTAACGTAATTTCCGATTACCTGTTCCTCCCGTTCATGCTTCTGACAGCACACCAGTGTGGATTTCAGTATGTTACATGACCGAAGAGGCTGTTTGTGTTGTTATTTGCAAAAGCAAGGTGACTTTTTTCTCTCTCCATCATTTACGTTTTACATTTGTGACCGACATTTGTTTTTGAAGTGTCTTTGTGAGGTCTACATGACTTTAAAGTTAGACTTGGTGAAGCTACAGCTTGTTTTGATATCTTTTTGGATATCTCTTATAAAACTTATGCAACATTCACATGATCAGGGTTGCTTGATTTCCGTTTGCACCTGTATATTATAATGATTCTTTTTACATTACAAACGTACACAGATTAGGTCATATTTAAAGTAAATTGTTTCATTATATCATACAGTACATACGTGTAATAAACTAAAAGAACTTCTCACAATCACAAAATGTAAATACAGAGGTTCCTTTAAAAAAACGAAGCTCATAAATAAACATTTCAATGAAAAAAAAGGTTAATTGAACATAAATGATCATATGCTATGCAACCTTCTTTTGGAATTTATTTATGTTTTGAATAATATATTTTATTGAATAATAATTATTAATAATTTTTAATAATTAACTAATTATTGTTTAAAAGCATATAAATAATACTTGTGTTTAGTATGTTAAATTATGATAATGTTCTAAAAATAATAAACCCTCATCAAGTAATGGCATATTTGCTTTTCCACATTTGCCCTCTACATTTAGGATTGGTTTTTGTTGATAAACGTGCCAGTATGCTTATTGACAAACCATTTCTACAAGTAACATGCATTTGAAAGTGGTTTATGCCTGTCAAATTAATTTACTTGTTTTAAAAACCTTTTTAGTACTGTTTATTTTAGAAATTCTGTAGATATGAATGTGGACAGAGTTTGAGCAATCATGAGATTTATAAAGTGATTAAGTAAAAATATACTTCATTAAATTTACTTGATTTCAGTTGACTAAATATGGTTGATATCTGCAGTTATGCTTTTTTTTTTTTAATTATTCATCAAATAAAAACTAGAAATGTATAAAAACAGATATATAAATCAGATTTTTAATGTGGATCATTTTGTGTTTTTCAATTCATTTCTCAATTCCTAAATTCATCAATAATAATAATGCAGTAAAAAGTATTTTATTTTTTACTTTATTAATGACAGTTTTATTATGAGAGTTCTGACTTTTATAAAACAGCACTTATTCTGGTTAATAATCACATATAGGTTTTTAATGCATTATGATGTCACATGCAGAAATATTTTTCCACATCTTTCTCAAGCTTTTATAATATGCCGTGTGAAGCTGCCGCTCACTTCTTAATTCTGTACGGATCTCAGCGTGGTCAGGCTCAGTCTATAGCAGAAGAGATCTGCCAACAAGCCGCTGAGCATGGATTTACAGCAGACATCAGCTGTCTGAGCAAGCATGACAAGGTATGCTGCTTCTTCACAGCAATTTTCAGGGATCTTGCACAAATCAGAGTTGGCTGATGTTGATCTTGAACATTCACAGTACAACCTAGACAGTGAAAGCCGCCCAGTCGTTTTTGTGGTTTCCACTACCGGTGATGGTGACCCTCCAGACACCGCTCTGAAGTTTGTAAGAAAAATCAAGAATAAATCTCTGCCACACGACCATCTTTCTCATCTGCGGTATGCACTGTTAGGTAAGCTGAACTTGCTGTTGGGTAAGAGTGAGCTCCACCTATGAGCAATTAGGTTGCTGCACACTGTAGCCAAAATGTGGCCCAAATCAGATTTTTTTTGTGCTCATGTTACTCAAATCTACTCCGATCATGACACACTGAACACCACAAACCAAATGGATGATGGAAAGTGATCTTTGAAATTTCGATTTGTGACACTTTCACATGTGGGATTTTTTGCAATGCGAATGCAGTCTAAATGCAGGGTATCTGTGGGATCTTAAATAGTCTTTATACGTCTTAAATTTCAAAAACAAAATTTTAGGCCTTAAAAAGTCTTAAATTTACAAAAATTTTGTGTTGTAGGTCTAAAATTATTTTAAACAGGTCTTAATTTTAAAAGTTGTTGATATAATGTTACCCAGTCGGGCCAAAACCCATCCATCCATCCATCCATCCATCCATCCATCCATCCATCTATCTATCTATCGATTTCTAAACAGCTGTTAGACATTTTGCAGAAAGTAAAGGAAGGCATAAAACTTGTGTTTTATAACAGAAACACATTGCAGTTGGTTGAATAGGAGTTCAATTAATTTGGACAAAAAGCAAACAAATATATATTTTTTGATTATTTGTGTAGTTCTTCATAATAAATATACCTTTAACAATGTTAAAATTGTTATAAAAAAAAGAAACGTGCTGAAAAAAGTCTATACAACTAGAATTTTTTTAGTTTTGACACATTAAAATATGTGGTTAAGAAATGACTATGGCGATGCAGTGACGCAGTAGGTAGTGCTGTATCCTCACAGCAAGAAGTTCGCTGGTTCAAGCCTAGGTTGGGTCAGTTGGTGTTTCTGTGCGGAGTTTGCATGTTCTCTCTGCGTTCGTGTGGGTTTCCTCAGGGTGTTCAGTTTCTCCTACAGTCCAACGGCATGCTGTACAGGTGAATTGGGTAGGCTAAATTGTCTGTAGTGTATGAGTGTTAATGGGTGTGGATGGATGTTTCCCAAGGATAGGTTGCAGCTGGAAGGGCATCCGCTGCGTGGAACATATGCTGGATAAGTTGGCAGTTCATTACGCTGTGGTGATCCCAGATTAATAAAGGGAATAAGCCGAAAAGAAAATTAATGAAATAACTACATTTTTTTTTTCAATTCCATTGGTCCAACTGCACCATTACTAAAAATCCTTAGTGCTTAGCCCTGTGTAAGTCTAAAATCTCATTCGTAATAGTCTTAAAAGGGTCTTAAAAAGTCTTACATTTGACTTGATGAAACCTGTTGCAACACTAAAAAGGTTATGTTCATCATTTTATAACATTCATTTTCATTTTACTCTGGCATGTACTAGTAAGATTCTGAAGGAACTCTTCTTTGAAGTAAATGCAATGAGTTTGCAAATTTTTTTACTGAGATCTTTGATAGGGCTGCACGACATTGGAAAAATCTAACAATGCAATATTTAGTTTTTCTGCGATATACATTGCTATATGAATATTATTTCCCCCGATGACTTGAATATCTCTTATTTGGAAAGAATGAATAATTTTAAACTGATTGAGATGGTTCTGTAGAGAAGCGCATCACATTAAATAAAAACAATCTACAAGCATAGAACAATACAGTTTAAAAAAAGATACCATTAAAATAAACATTGTTTTCCGAGTCTAATGGTACCTTACAAACGTTACAGTTACTGATGCCTCAATGGTTTTAATCTCATACAGTCACAGGCCTCAAATCATAAAAATGATAAATTATACTACAGACTCAACATTGCACATTTTGCGATTTGTCTATTGCAAATGATCACATTACAATATAGATGCTGAAACAATATATTGTGCAGCCCTAATCTCTAATATCAGAAATCAAAGAGCAAAATATTGGAGTAGATTGTATGATTATGAAAACATCATGATTAGGAAATCAGATTATAAAAACATCAAGCTGCTCATCGGCATTCTGTTAAACCATTGGAATGTACAGTAGTCAACATTTGAAGTGATTAAAAATGTTTTTCGAATTTTTCCTAGGATAAGAATATGTGCTGTTCAGTAGTTTTAGGACAACTTTGACGAAAGGTGATGATCCACTTCAAATGTTGACTACTGTAGATCTCCTAAAAGTGGTAAATGCTACAGTTGTTAAACCACTTATAGAAAAAAAATCTGGATAGGACCGTTTTGAAAAAAGTTATTTATAATCAGGCTAACAAGTTTCTAAACTCTATGGGATGTTTAGACTAGTTTCGATCTGGTTTTTGACCACATAATCATACAAAGAGCACACTTATCCAAATAATCAATGATATTTGCTTAAATACGAAAACAGGCAAATTAACAGTGCTGGTATTATTTGATTTCTGTGCTGCATTTGACTCGATCAGAGACTCTTTTATAAGCTGAAAAACTGGGTCAGGCTTTCTGCTCCTCTAATGGCTCAGATCTTATGTTGAAGTGAAAGGTTATTATGTCAGTATAGGTGACCATAGGTCAAGGTGGACACCCATGATGTGAAGTCCCACAAGGTTCAGTTCTGGCACCTCTACTGTTCAACCTTTATATGCTACACTGAATCAAATAATGAGAATGTTTAGGAATTTGATCAGTTCACACTGGAAATCTTTCATTGGGCACATTGAAGTAAAAGACTGTGATGTATATGTCAAAACATTTGAGCACTAAGACTTGCTGTGTGAAAATACCCTTATTCATGCTGTCATATATGCAGGTTTGGGAGACACAAATTATGCTAATTTCTGCAATGGTGGGAAGACCATAGACAGCTACCTGCAGAAACTTGGTGCTAAACATTTCTATGCCACTGGACATGCAGATGATGGCACTGGGTGAGCATGAATGTTAAAAGAAGAGGATTCTCTCATATATTTACTATGCCAGACTCTTTTTTTTATCCTTTTCCTTTTTTTCCAGACTAGAAGTAGTGGTGGATCCTTGGATCGAGGGACTTTGGGACGCTCTGAAAAAGGCATTTTCCACCATGTCCACTTCAGATCAACAGACCCTCAGTGACTGTACGCAGGACAGTAATCATCAAAATGCATCTGATCAAAAAAAAAATCTAGAAGTTGATCTTCAACTTTTAAAGCTGAGTGAAGTAGACTCGCCAAAAGGAAAAACTGTTACATCTGACAGCATTGCTACAGAGATCGGCTCTACTTCATCGGTTGCATCTTTGAAGGAATCTGTCCCACCATTGTCAGAGTCTGTGCTTAATGTTCCTGCTCTTCCTCCTTCATATCTGGAGATCCTGTTGGTGGGGACAGAAAATGTAGAGGTATGATTTTCCTAAATAATCGGATCAGTCTTTAAAACACGAGCAAGATTGATGAATTTAGTGTAACTGTTTGTGTAAGCATAGATTAAAGAACATAAATGTATTTGTTAACATTTATGCACTTATTCATGAGGTATATATATATATATATATATATATATATATATATATATATATATATATATATATATATATATATATATATATATATATATATATATATAATTTTTAAATAAATTTTGTTCTCCCTATTTTATTATTTTTATTGAAGAATGCACAGAATTGAATGGTTATATTAAAATTTTATTGTTTAAATCACCACAGAAATATCAGAAAAATTAAGAGATTTACTGTAATTTTGTTTTACTATGGTGGTATTTGAGTTGAAAGGTTGAGAAACTATGCCATATATTGCTTTGTGTAATATATAATTCCTTTAACAGTGTTTATTATGTCTGTGCTTCTGCTAATAAGCATACTCTGTTCATAGGAGACAGTCCTGCCTGATAAAGACGGTTATTTTGAAGTGCCAATTTCGAAGGCAGTTCAATTAACTCAAGATGATGCAGTGAAAACTGCCATCTTGCTGGAGCTTGATATTTCGGTAAGTCCAAATTCATTCACGTTCATGCAAGAATATTAAAATTCTGGCTGATGTAAAGATACAAATCATTCATTTTATAATGAAATAATTATATCTATGTAAAATATGTGTTGTAACATTAAATGAGCACTCCGCTTTTTTTAACAGTCAAACTTCCTTAGTTTTAAGTTGAGTTTTAAATGCATTTAGCTGATCTCAGGGTGTGGTTGGAGCACTTATATCTAGATTATTGTATTTATTAGATTTAATTTATTAGATTAGAACGCAAAAAATGTGTGTATATGTGTGTGTATATGTATATATATATATATATATATATATATATATATATATATATATATATATATATATATATATATATTATAATCTGATGCAGCTTCAATCATAACAATCAAGAGACTTTTTTTGTCGTACCAGCAGCAGGCACGGTGAAATTATGCAGCACTGTTATCCATTTACCTATGTTGGGACTATTTTCATTGTGCCTACATAATGTAGACATGATATGACAGCAAAGCTCTTTATTACACCAGAATGAGAATATAGTTCCTAGGCATTTTTCATTCATTTTCCGCCTTAGAACACAACGTAACAGAGTTTGACTACAGAATAGTCAAACTTTAAATTAGAAAATTTTTATTTTTTTGAGTCAGATGCTAATGGTCTAATCTAATTTAATTTATTGATCTATGCTAAGCTATGCTAAAAGTGCTCCAGTCAGATTCCAGACCCTGTTTTAATGAATTCAAAAATGGTAAAACTCAACTGTTTAACTTTGATCCTTTTTAAAAAGCTAGGGTTAAATGTATATTATTTGATGCAGACACTAAAATGGGACATCTCATCATTGAGTCTACAGTATGATGCATTATGTACCCTTATTTCAAAGGCTGTTTAATGTTTGGATTGGCTCAGATAGACCTGTTTGTTTATATTTTAAAAAAATCCAGTAAAATGTATCTTTTTAAAAGCGTACATTGTCTCTTCAGCAGCAGCAGGAGCAGGTTTATCAGCCTGGAGACGCTTTTGATATTCTCTGTCCAAACAGAGACAGTGAGGTTGAAGAGCTGCTGCTCAAACTGGATCTGCAAATGCAAAAGAACTGCACCGTTCAAGTTAATCTGCTTAAAAACACCAGCAAGAAAGGTATCACAACCTTTGTTGACACAATCTGTGACACCAAGAACAAACTGTCCTAGAAAAGAGATAAAATAATGTATTCTGGCCAACAAGTCAGACACCAGATTAAGATTAAACAACTTGAAACGTTGAATAAATGCATAGCAATTTTTTTTTCTTTTACAGCAGCAAAAGTTCCACTTCACATCCCACAGAATGGCTCTTTGCAGTTTATTCTCACCTGGTGTTTAGAGATAAGGAGCACTCCGAAAAAAGTAATTTTGTGTTGTTATTAACCTTATTTAATGTAATAGTTGCTGTGCTGTTGAAGTTGTGCACCTTTGAGTTAGCTCTAGCGCACTTACATTATACACAGTGCTTTTGATGGTTTATTTTGCTTTCTTGTCACTGACATACTTTGTTAGTTTAACTTCTACTGTTTTTAAAGGAATAGTTCACCCAAAACTATCTGTTATCATTTTATATTAATTTCAAAACTGAACAGACCGCATTGAGCATTTTAAGTCAACAACTCCTCTATTCAAAAGATCTAATTAAAAAAAAGAGTTTCTTTGATTAAATGACTCACAAATGATTCAGTCAGACTGATTCAGATTCAGCGAATTTTCAAATAAAAATCATATGTAGGTTAAATATGTCAGCTGTTGAAATACTGTTCACTCTATGAAGTGCATAAAGTAATTTCTATTTTTTGTTTATTATTGTCTGAATGTGGTAGATTTTATATAAAAATAAGCTTTAATTTAGTTAAATCTTTAATTTAAATGGGACAAATTGATGACCTGTTGTCTTTTATATTGCATGCTTATTATTTTTTGCACACATTTACACACATTTTTTGTTATATGCTAGGCTATAAAGGTATAATTTTGCAATTCATTTAAATTCTAATTTTATTTGTCACATACACAGTCATAAACAGTATGCAGTGAAATGCTTATACAACCATCCTTGATCTTAAAGAAACTAATATCAATAAGAATCTAAATTATGGAGTATAATAAGAGTATAAAAACAGAAGATTTTAGATGTAAAAATAGAAGTTAAAGATGTAAAAAATCAGAGCAAATATTAACTATTTTTAAACCTTAGATACAAAGAATTAAGCTATAGAAAATCAAATGATTAACTATCATCAATCATCTTTGTTCGTGTAATGATAAAGTTTTGGTAATATAATGCTCCATACTCCTACAGTAATTGACTATCCACTGTTAATTATTTAGTACATTTAAATTAATGTAATTTAGTACAGTTTGGTACTTCATACTTTTAATAAAGAAACATTTTATTATGATATCGGTCTTTTTACTCATCTGCTTGATTTGTGTTTTAGGCATTTTTGCGAGCGTTGGTGGACTTCACTCAAAACGCTTCAGAGAAAAGAAGGCTTTTGGAACTGTGTAGTAAACAAGGATCGGCCGACTACAACAGCTTTGTCAGAGACTCAAGTGTGTGTGTGCTGGATCTCCTTCGGGCCTTCCCATCCTGCTGCCCCCCACTCAGCCTTCTCTTTGGTCAGTAAACATGCAGCTGCTTTTGAAATTGGAATTTGAATGCTTTATACAGTTAGTATCAGAATATGCAGGTTGCATTCTCACTTTTGGCACCAGCAGATGGCAGTAAAACATCATGGGATCAGTGGTTCACGTTTACTCTCATTTTTAAGGTGAAATTGGGTTCTATAACTGCAGGTTTATCCTCCGAAAATAGATTTTTAAACTTCAGAGTAGCTTTGAGACACATTTTAAGGAATAATGATGATAAATTCAGAGATATGAAGTAAAAATTAAACGTATTGTTCACCCAAAACTGAAAATTTCCTCTTCATTTAACTTGTGTTTTCACATTTTTATGAGTTTCTTTTTTTCTTTGCAACACAAATTACATTTTGAAGAATGTTAGAAACAAGTAGCCATGATCAAATATTTTTTTTAAAATCCCCAAAAAATTGCCATTAAAAGCAATGACTACCAGTTTTCAACATTCTTCAAAATATCTGTCCAACAGAAGAGCGAGAACCTACTTAATCGTAAAAGATGTAACAGATGAGATTTTTAAATGTTTTGAATGAATTTTCTTCTGCTGACTAAGATTTACAATAAATTTCACAATTCTCTTACAAAAAATAATTGGCTATTGCGGGTAAGAAAAAAGTTGAATTTAGTTTGGAAAAAAGGAGAAAAAGTTGAATGGTAGTGTACGTTTTGCACACTGTGAAAGAAAATATTGTGCAATGCAAATAGCTTTGATATTTTCTAATATGTAAAAGATAAGGCTGGGCAATTTGGCATTGATTGAACATTTTAACTTGATTATGATTAACAATTATTTTATTTCTTCATTTTAGTTTTTTGCACTCATAGACAAGTTTTGTAATATTTTAATTGAAGGAAAGACACACTCTACAATCTATGTTAGTTATTGAGCATCAACTCTAAATAAACTAAAGTTAAAACCACACATTGTCTACTTGCACTTTTGGAACCAAAATAAATTATTTTCAATGTTTTTCGTATTAAAAGTAGAAAATAAGCAGTATCTTTTCAACATCAAATAAGTCTTTTATATCCTGTAAATAATATTTTAAATGCTGCATCTTTTGGCTCTTCTGTAAACAAATATTTTAATGTAAAAAATAATTTTAATTTAATGGAAAATATTCCGTATCAAGGCATCTCTGGTGCAGCTTTCAATCATTATCAATGTAGTACAAAGTAAGGCTCAAGAATGTGTCCTACATGACTAGAGATCAGATGTGGCTGCAGAAGTATAAATCAGCCTCAGCCTAACAGAGTGAGGTCATGTGATTCCACACACGGTAAATAAAATAAAAGATAATAGAATTATATTTCACATCCAGATAATATTAAATCTGTTTCTACTTTAGTTTTTATTGCATTTTGTTTTTGAAAAATAAAAGCCAAATAATTTTCAATTATCATTTAGCCAACAGAAAAAAGGAGCACTCGTATTCTGACCTGTATATACTAAAATCTGTAAAACAATAGGTGATCATACAAAATGTATTATTTTAAATTATTAGAAATTTCTTGCTGACAAAGGAGTAAAACGTAGTGTGTTGTTACTGGGAGTGTACTGATGCTTTAAATTGGCATCTCATATAATCTCATATATTATACATTTAATCATTAGTCATTTTATATAGTTAGAATAATTCACGATTATTTAGGTGTAAGCCTCCGCTGTGAAATGCTATAAAATCCTCCATCAAGGTGAGAAATGTGCTGTCACCTTGATTTTGAGGAACAGCTGGTAGTGCTGAATTTATTAATGCCTACCATGCTTTAGATACAGAGAACTGCAAAGTAATCATAATACAGTGACCCTTTGCTGATTTATGTGGTCAGTGGATTGTTGCATCGGATGCGTTTGCATGTAAAGTTTTAATCTGTGTGAATATTACTGCAGCTTTGGCAAATTAAGGATTAACAGGGTGATTCTCCACGGCACAGAGATATGCTGGTTCAGCAGTGTTTGACAGCACATTCATATTATTTTCTGAAATCACTCTGCACTGGTCTCTTCTGACAGGAAAATCTTTGTCAATCGTCAGTTTCATCCCAACCTTTCCTGTAATAAAGAGCATTCTTTCCCTAACAAAACACCATGTGCATATTTGATGCATTTGTTTGTAGTGATGAGACGCTGTAATTGCAACAGCTGCTCACTATATTGAATGTTTGATTGAAATTAATTGTTAATATTGAGGACCTTCAGCATTCGCATATGGCGTGCTTGAAATTTACAAATTGTTTCATCTTTTTAGCAAATTAGAGAAAATTGTATGTCAGTTGTTGACTGATGATGCAGATTTTTAAACACTCTATTTGAGCTGAGAAATGGATAACTCGGTTCTTTAAATAAGGAATATTATAAGTGTACAAATATTTTCTTCAAAGCCCACTAAGTAGTAGAGTTTTACTTTGAATTGGACGGAAATTAATAATGCTAGATAAAAGCACTAACTAATAATGGGTGTTTAAATATGTCTTTTTTTAATAGCAAAGAAATAATATATATGAGCAATATCACACGAGTAGCAGTGCGATATGGCTGTATATCGGCACTGGTGGGAGGCGTGCGTTGGCACGAGGCCGCAGGCCTTAGTGTCCCCACCAGTGCCGATATACAGCCATATCGCACTGCTACTCATGTGATATTGCGTTTATACAACAGTTTGACGGCATTGTTGTGTATATAAAAACAAAATCAAACATGAAGAGTCTTAAAAACCCTTTTGTATGAGGAACTACTTTCATCCGGATTCAAATCATAAGCTGACAATTAAACAGTTGAGCGTGCATCTTTTAAACTTTAGATGTGTAGTGTCTGCTTTTTGCTGGTTGTATGTGGGTGGAGTAATACACAAAGGGTAAAGAGGCTGTAGGAGTTCTGATATTGCAGAATATCGCACGGCTATCAGCCAATCAGATTTGAGAACCAGACAGAACTGTTGTATAAATAAATATATCACATGAGTAGCAGTGCGATATGGCTGCATATCTGCACTGGTGCGATACATGCATTGGCACGAGGCCAAGGCTGTCTAAAGCGATGACAAAACAGCTGATTTAGTTCACATTTTAAGATTATAAGACTAAACGTCACATGAAATGCCATTCGTCTACAGAGATATCTCCATACAGTCTATTAAAATCTACAGTATTTCTCTGTCGCAATCGATATATTGTGATTGGTGCCAGGTGTCCTAGCGTTTACACGGAGACTTTTAGGAATGGAAAAAAAAGAGTTTTCGCTCTTCCTATTGGCTTTTATGCATTTCTCCCAAGTGCTGTCGACTACATGCGTGCCAGTCAATAACAGTTGAATAGGCAAAAGGGAAAGAAAAAGTCACTTAATCATCCTTTGCAAAATAAAATGTTACATTATTGAAATAAAAGAATGATACAGTGGTAGAACAACCATCACACATTTCTTAGAGCTCGCCAGAACTGAACTGAGCTTCCATGCAGGCATGCTTCCGTCTCAAAGATAAAACAACCACAGAAGAAGTCCTCTTAAAGGGGACATGACATACAATGCATATCAAACCATAAGCGACCATTACAATGTCACAATTAACCCTGAAAAAAAGCAGCGCAAGAACTTCCAGACTGCTGTTGTGTTTGTAGAAGGAAAAACGCTAAACCAATGCGGGCATTTCTTCTTTCTTTCTGCCAACACAACACATATTCCTGATATGCGAGTTCCATATCTCACACTCAATGCACTACAAATACTATGGTAATGTTATAAATTAGGCATTATAAATTATTTATAAATTACAGCCCTACAACATACAAAAGAGTAGGTAAATAGATAACAGTGTTACATAATTTCACCATATATATGTATGTATGTATGTATGTGTGTGTCTGTCTGTGTGTCTATGTGTGTTAGTTTTAACTTCATTTCTTTTCGGCTTAGTCCCTGTATTAATCAGGGGTTGCCACAGCACAATGAACTGCCGACTTATCCAGCATATATTTTGCACAACAGACATCCTTTCACCTGCAACCCATCACTGGGAAACACCAATACACACCCATTAACACTCATACACTACGGACAATTTAGCCTACCCAATTCACCTGTAGCATATGTCTTTGGACTGTGGGAGAAACTGGAGCACCCAGAGGAAACCCACACACCAACATAGGGAGAACATGCTAACTCCACACAGAAATGCCAACTGACCCAACCGAGGCTCAAACCAGCGACCTTCTTGCTGTGAAGTGACATCACTACCCAAAAGCTCCGCGCTGCCCTGAAGTTTTAACTCTTTTTAAGCTTTTTTTTTTTTGTATTCACATATGTTGCATTGCATTGTAATTCTGTTTCTTGTATAAAGAAGTTAAGTTTAAGTATTCAAATTGTTTTAATAAAACTGAGCTATTCCATATAATATTTAAGATAGTGTAGTTTTTACATTAAGATTAAAGAGCATGGGTCTTTAACTCAATATTTTTAGGGCCACAGTTCTGCACCGTCTTGCTCTAACCCTAATTAAACACACCTGATTCAACTTATCTGTGTTCAACACTACTAGAAACTTAGCAGGTGTGAGTTGAAGCTAAACTGTGCAGAGCTGTGGCCCTCCAGGAATTAAGTTTGAGACCATTTTTATAGAGACTTAAATAATGAGTTAAATCAAAACTATAAATTATATCATGTACTTATCCTTCATTGTTTTTAAACTAATTTGAGTTTCTTTCTTCTGTGTAAAGCCGTGGTCACACTGCACTTTTCACCCCTTAGACTTCCATTAAAACACATACGATTGCGGCTGACTGGAAATGCAAGCTTATGCAACAAGTTTTGTTGTTGTTGCTAGATCAGATAAAGTTACTGCCAGAAGTTAACAAGAATTACTTCCAATAATTATTACATTTCCCACTAACTGTATTTTATTAACGTCTACAACGGTTGTTGCCAGATCAGATATGGTTGCGGATGGAAGTTAACGAAACTTACTTATATTATTTATTAAATTTCCTATTAATTGTATTTTATTTACGTCCACCCCGCTTGTTGCTAGATCAGATAAAATTGCGGCTGAAAGTTAATGAGAATTATTTATAGTAATTATTAAGTTTCCCACCAATTGTATTTTATTAACGTCTACCCCGGTTGTTGCTAGATCAGGTTTGGTTATGGCCGGAAGTTAACGAGAATTATTTGTTTTATTTATTAAATTTCTCAATATTTGTATTTTATTGACGTCTAACCCGGTTGTTGCTATATCAGATATGGTTGCGGCTCAAGGTTAATGAGAATTATTTGTAGTAATTATTAAATTTCCCATTTATTGTATTTTAGGCGATACAGTGGCGCAGTAGGTAGTGCTGTAGCCTCACAGCAAGAAGGTCACTGGTTCGAGGCTCGGCTGGGTCAGCTGGCAAAAAACATGCTGGATAAGTTGGCGGTTCATTCTGCTGTGGTGACCTCAGATTAATAATGGGACTAAGCCGACAAGAAAATGAATGAATGGTATTTAATTCATTTTTACCCCGGTTGTTGCTAGATCAGATATGGTTGCGTCCTGAAGTTAACGAGAATTATTTATATTATTTAATTTTGCATTAACTGTATATTACTACCATCCACTCCATCTCTAAATACAATCATTACTCATTACTGTAATGTAAAAACAGTAGTTGTACCTTGCATCATTTATTACCTTGCATGTTATTAAATTACCCAATAAATAGTTTTTTTTAATGTCTATTCCCAACTGTCACAGTACTGTAAAAATATTAATTATTTTTATACAGTGTCATAAAAATGATGCTATATTGATGTGTGTATGCGCAGCTGTATCCTATAGTATCTAGACTCTATCAGCACGTTTCGCTGAAGTCAAAAGTTCAAGCTTGGTAAACTTGCATCACGTGATTGCCCAAGACCAATAGAAGATCAAAACATAACCTCTCTGGGCAGAAATTAAAAATATGGAGCATTCACTCGCTTTTATCAATGTCTAATCATCTTGTTTATTCCCACTGCCATTTCACAGTGCCAAACAACAGAATTTGGCAAGCTCAAATGCTAGTGTGACCACAGCATTACCTGCAAAATCACATCACGTGATGGCGTGAGACTAATAAAAGATCAAAACCTGTCCTCTCTGTACAGAAATTTAAAACATGGAATAATCGCTCACTTTTATCAATGTCTAATCACATTGTTTAATCCTGCCCATTTTTGCAGTGCCGCAGGCAGAACTTCCCAAGCACAAACCACAGCTTAACACAAACAAAGATATTTGCAAAACACTAAATATTTATGTTAACTGAGTTGACACATACTTTCTCAAAAATTGAACCATTTTTCCTTCTATGGATGTCCTATACTTGCTTTTCTGTCCTAAAAATTTGCTGTAATGAAACATTGTGTTGTGAATTGAGCTATTCTGAGAAATTAGCCCTCATTCAGTCCACAGATGAAACTCTAAAGACTTGTGTAAAAGCGAAACTCGAGCCCCAGGGGAACAACCTCAAGGTCAAAAAAGCATCTCCATCTCTGATCTCTCCTCTGCTTCATTACAGAACACTTGCCAAAGCTTCAACCCCGAGCCTACTCCGCCGCCAGGTAAAGAGACCTCTTTTAAAACACCTGCGCTTTATATTGGGGCACACAAATTAAAGTGGAGACATATCCAGGTTTTAGGTCATTATTTCTGTCTGCATCCTGCTTTGATGTCACACGGTTTTATTGTAGACAGATGTGATTTCAGTGTCAGTCGACGATACTCTATTTATCATGATCAAAGTAAGCCGCATTTTAAAACCGCCTGCCACTTTTATTTGTTTTCAGCTCTTGTATTTGGCTTGTAAGTGGTCTGGCATCTACACTAATGTCTTATGTTCGCTACGCTGATGCTGGTATAATAACACCGAAACATTAGGGCTCTGAAATATTAAAGTCCGGTCAGCAGGGCTCCCCAGGGTCTTATACGGGCAGGCCATTAAGAGGGAGATAATGAGGTCCACCGGCTTGCTCATGTTCAGGGTTGGTTCTGGATTGTTAGCGCTTAGCCTCTTATTTTCGTTTGCGTTCCACAGCTCCAGCCTTCAGCACCCGGGGAAAGTTCATTTGGTGTTCAATGTTGTGGAGTTCCCAGCACGTCCCGAGCATCCGGCGAGGAAGGGGTTGTGTACGGGCTGGCTGGTCGATCACGTCTCCTCAATCTTGGAGCCTCATGGGACGGCACTGGCTTCAGAGCGTCCAGGCACATCAGCCCTGCCGAAGGTTAGCACTGTAGACAACACACATTAGCGGAGCCCGCTCACCTTCAAATTAGCTTCTCACAGTCCCTGGGAGGATTTGGGACGAATTGGGTTGTTTGATTTGAGGTAAAAGGTAAACAAAAATAAGCTTTGAAGAATGTGGACTAATCCTTGCAGCACAACAATAATTAATCATACTAATAATCATAGGACTAAAGATGGTGGTTTAGATGCTATCAGTTAAATGTGTGGAAGTGTTTTTTTTTTTAGTCAAGGCAAGATGCTGCAGGGGATTGGCATAGAAACTAATATTTATCACTTTGCTCCCACAGTTAATTGATTGCATTTGCAAATATATCTTAAAATACACAAACTCTATTATTTAAGGAAATTTGCGCTAATTTGCATACAACTAATGCAAATCAGATTATTAAAAAAAAAACATTTTAAATGTTTTTAAATGTAAAAACATTCACTTTGTTTTTTATCACTATCACTTGGAGCTGTACAATTAATCGAAATTCAGTTTCAAATTTTAATTTTGGCTTCTAACAATTATGAAAAACATTAATCGAGATAACTGATTATTGAATCATATATCGCCCCCTTTCCAGTTGTACACATTTGTTGCTTTGCAAAGCTCAGTTTCACATGAAAATTACTAAAAGCATGTACTGTAATGTAACTTGGCAGCACGGGATGCGCATCATTCATTGATGTACATTCGAATCATTCATGTTTTTAAAAGCATGAAAGAGATCGCATGCTGTTGTGTGTGTGTATGCGCTCACAGTCAGAGACGAGCAGAACACACACATCTAAAGCCATCTTAATGTGAGCGGTTTAATGGTCAAATACATGCACATTTGTGTCAACGCTGTGTTTAGTGATTCTTCATATTAACCCTCATTTATGTAATAACAAGTTGAGAATCAAAAGACATGTGAAAGTGAAACCATAAATCAGAACCGTACTGCTCTTAAAGTGACAGGTTGTTTAAAAAAAAAAAAAAAATTATAGGAGGGTGAATAATTCTGACTTCCAACAGTACTTCATTTTGAATAATCGTAATTACAATTATGACCAAAATAATTGTAATTATGATTTTTCCATAATTGAGCAGCCCTACTGTAATTTTGAAAGTACTGTAAATAGACAAAAAAATATATAAACTATGTGTGTGTGTGTGTGTGTGTGTGTGTGTGTGTGTGTGTGTATATATATATATATATATATATTTTGGTGCTGTCAATCGATTAAAAAAAATTTTACTAATTAATGTATGTATGTATTTTTTTTTTAAATTAATCGCGATTAATCGCATTTAAAATACTGAAACTTGTAATGTTGGCTATTCAAATGTAAAATTAATGTAAACGCAAGACAAAAACTATTTCAATTCAAAATATAATTGTTTATAAGAATCAAAATAAAAAAAAATAATTGTTTAATAGAATTTTTGTTTAACTTGTAACACAGATTTCTTCATGTAAACAACATACCCACAATAAACCATCAAGATCCTGGCTTGACAGCCATATTTATTAAAGAAATTAAAACACAGGCATATTAATGACATTTAAATTTCAAAACAATCAATGCCAATAAAGAAAACATTGATATCCATGTTGGATTCTAAGTGGACTGCAAAAAGATGCCAAAATACAGGAATTGCAGATATGGAAAATGAAAAATTATAATAATAAACTATAGAATAGAAACTGTTGCACTCATTGTAAAGTTTTATTGCTGTGAGTTGAGAACATTAGATATAGAGTAGAAACAATTTTTCTTAATCCTCCCGCATCCATCCTAGCTCTTCAGGTAGCCTATGTCGCACGCAACTCACGCCCACCGTCCTTCAGGTACGTCTCGCGCGCACACGCCCCTACTCAGATACGTCGCTCACTCCACCCCTGACACCCCTCAACGGGCCTGACACAGACACACACACAGACACACACACAACGCGCTGCAGACGTTTTGGCCCCAACGGCCTTCCATACTGGAGCGACTCCCCTCAGATTCAATACGCATGATCACGTTCATTAAATTTGCTAAGCGTCCTAAACTAAGCGTCCAAAAGTATTACTGTATTTCACAAGGATTCTGACACAACAACGCGAAGCATACGCTTTCGTTGCGTTTAATGAGGAAACACGCTAAACTTGGAGGGCTCATGCTGAAAGGCAGAGTAATGCCCTGTCTTTGACAGCTCGCGACTTCACCAGACTTTCTGAGTACATCTACATAAGACACCAATACTCCGATTTTAATATGATTAAGATTATACTCTTATTAAAATTCTACCGTATAGCCTAAGCAGTGATTTTATTACCTTAAAGGAACACAGAGTCACGAAATGCGGAGGATTTTCTTTCTGTTCGCCATGTGGTATCAACTTACAACAGAAGTCGAAAGTGAAAAATGAAACACCCAAAATTGCATGAATCTTTGGAGAGCCTGGTGATGCGACTAATTGTTTTATACTGAAACTTGCCTTCAAAAAGTGCTTCCTTGGTCTTATTCACATTTATTGCATTGTAAACACACGTCCACCACAACAGGAAGAAAAAAAACCTGCAACTGTGTTAATTGCGGTAATTTTTTTTAACACGTTAATTATTTAAAATTAATTGCATGCGTTAACGCACTAATTTTGACAGCGCTAATATATATATATATATATATATATATATATATATATATATATATATATATATATATATTAGTTTAACTTTTTTGTGAAATAAAATGTAGAATCAAGGCAAGGCAAGTTTATTTATATAGCACATTTCATAAAATTGAATAAAATAATTTTTAAAAAATCGATAAAAGGGGACAAAAGAAACGCTTAATGTCTTTTCTTTCCATTAGTCTGAAAACAACAACTACAAAACACTTTATTAGAAGTCAAAAACCCAACATCTCAAAATAGACAATGTTTGTTTTTGTAAAAGAAAATAGTTTCTGCCTACAACCTTAAATGGATGTTATGTGGGGGATTTGAGACTATAGATGTCCCATCTGCACTTAAAATTGATTGTATCTAAATGTCACATTCAGGTACATGTCAGAGCTCGTCCCAGCAGCACCTTCCACTTACCATCCGACCCCTGTGTTCCTGTAGTCATGGTTGGACCTGGGACTGGTGTTGCACCTTTTATTGGATTTCTCCAACAGAGGTACGTTCAGGAGTTTTTTTTAAACTATGCTTTTTACCCCCTTCACCCTTTTGTTTTGTTGACTCTGTAACTGTATTATTTTCTTAATGTTTTATTTATTTATTGTAGTTGCCAGGATATTTAATAGTCATTGTTGTGCAATGGGATAACATTTTTGCACAGATATCAAAATCGGGCCTGATAAAACAATAAGCGGAAAAATTATGTTAATGTAACGGCCATTAAGGTAACTTGAAAATGCTAACCAATCACTGCTAAATGCTACTGAAAGTAATGATCAAATTCTGAAACAAACACACAAAATGAGTAATTATTGTGTTAATGAAAATCAAGTAGACGAGTATAAAAAAAGTAGACATTGAATCATAAATTCACCTTATTCGTTTAAAGGATTTGTTCATTTATTCAGCAATGAAGTAAAGCACTCCTTACTTGAATGGCATTGAATCATTGGCTCACTCAGTTAATTCAATACAACTGATTCAGTCAGAAAGAAACACTGTGTTGATCAGAAATGAACAAACTAGAAATTATATATACAGTTAAAGTCAGAATTATTAGCCCCCCCCCCTGCTAGAATAAAAGCAGTTTTAATTAATTTTTAGTTTTTAAATTTTAAATTTCATTTAAAAATAATTTTAAGGTCAAAATTATTAGCCCTTTGTTTTCTAATAGTCTACAGAACAAACCATCGTTATACAGTAACTTGTCTAATTACCCTATCCTGCCTAGTTAACCTAATTAACCTAGTTAAGCCTTTAAATGTCACTTTAAGCTGTATAGAAGTGTCTTGAAAAATATCTAGTCAAACATAATGTATTGTCATCATGGCAAAGATAAAATAAATCGGTTATTAGAAATGAGTTATAAAAACTATTAATTTGGAATGTGTTGGAAAAAAATCTGCTCTCTGTTAAACAGACATTTGGGAAAAAAATAAACAGGGGGGCTCATAATTCAGGGGGGCTACTGATTCTGACTTCAACTATTATATTTTAATGTAGGCTTGTCAAGGTTTGAGACGTGCTTAGGCTTTGGAGTAAGTGCATGAAAATGTGATTGTACTGCTTTCATAAGTCAATGTTATTAAATAGGTAATACTACTGAACTATTTAAAAAAAATGGCACATTTAAAAAAGCAAGAAAATTATTTTTAGGAGACTAAATGACTAATTCTATGTTGGGCTTGGGACAAAGATGCCATCAAATTTTTCTAGTTTTCTAAAGAATTGTAACAAACAGCATCTGATATTTATCATGTGAGTTCTGGAAAAGTTTGAAAATGCACCTGAAAGTGCTTGAAAACTGTCTAAATTTGACCTTGAAACGTGTTCGAACCCTGTATAAAACATAGTTGAAGTCAAAATTATTAGCCCTTCTGTGAATTTAATTTTCTTAAATTCCCACGCATGCACAAATCCGGAGAAATTCTTATTTGTTTATTTTGGTTAGAATAAAAGCAGTTACTAATTAAAAAAAAAAAAAACATTTAAGGTCATTATTTTTATCCCTTTAAGCAAATTTTTATATTGGTTACAAAACCAGCCATCGTTATACAGTGAATTGCATAATTACCATAGGCTGATATATATACTTCTGTGTCAAACGGATGCGTATGCTCTGGCACTGCCTGCGTGTGGATGCATAGCCCTCGCTGTGGCTGTCTGCGTTGCTGATGTGCACCTCACAAAAAAATGTAACTACCATTGCAACAATGATGAGTGTGGGCGGGACCGAGAGCCGCATGAACCCGATGGAGTAAGTGTTTACAAGTGTGGAGCAGCGTGAAGAAGCTCCAGATGCAGACTTTGGTTTTGTGTTTATCTTATGATTAAAGTTGTACACGTTTGCTGATTCCTGCCTCAAAATAAGCAAATTTGAGCTACTTTTACATTAAGGTTGCGTTCACCAGTAGAGAAACTCGACACAGAGAAACATAAACACCTACTGCCAGCTAGCGTTTTGGAAGTGTTATTGCAAGGACACACACATCGCGCAGAAATATAAATGTACGACAACATGCAAGGGATGCGCCATGGGTCACGCCAATCACTCGGTGCAGAAGTTTAAACCAGCCTTTAACTTGCATAATCAGCCCTGCTAAGCCTTTAAATTGCACTTTAAACTGAATACTACTGTCTTAAAAAATATCTAAGAAAGTATTATGTACTGGCAAAAATGAAAGAAATTAGTTATTAGAAATGAACTATTAAATTACCTATTATGTTTAGAAATGTGTTGAAAAACAGTCTTCTTTCCATTAAACAAAAATTGAGGGAAATATACAGGGTCTAATAATTCAGGATGGCTGATAATTCTGACTTCAACTGTATATCAATTTTTATTTAAATGAACTGTTAGAAATATCAATGCACTTGTGATCTATAGGACAAAAACAGCCATCATGTAATATTGCTGGTCTATATCATATGATATAAATATTAAATGTAGAAAAATAAACCAGGTTTTAAAAGCGGAAAGAAGTTTATCGATTTTGATTCGCAAAAGCGGCATAAAAACAGCTCTAGGGTGATGAGGATAAATCCAGATAGGTTGAGGGAAGAAGAGAAAGTGTAAATGTGTTATTGACCTGCTTGCTGCCACATTATCTGTGAGGCCTAATAGTGTTTCTGAAGACCCTGGTGTTACAATGAAGAAGGGCATAAATTCAGGATGTGGTTGTAAAGGTGTCTTGTGGAGGCCTGTCATCTCGGTGTGCGTGATTTATACCCTGTGCCAAAGGCCTATGAAGAGTGACACTCCAGGACTACATATGAATGAAGCCGTCTGCCCTGGCGCAGGGTTAGATGGTGATGGGATTCCTGCTGTGTGTGTGTGTGTGTGTGTGTGTGTGTGTACACCAATAGTTTGTAAGTGTCATGAGGGCCACAGGTAATCACAGGGGTGAATGTCCGAGCCAAGCACGCTTGATGAATGTCGGGAGGGTGATGAGAGTGGGATGAGACATTAATGATGAATGACAAAAGTTGTCCTCAAACATCACATCACCTTTCAAACCATCAAGGTCGAGTTATGCAGTTGAATGTGTTTGTTTGGCTCCAGGCCATGCATTTGTAACAGATTTGTTTATTAATTATTTCTTGGTGCATTAGTTATATTGGTAGTATGACTATTATTCCCCTGGACTGTGTATATAAATCATTATATTAGTATGTTAGTGTTATTATCGGTACTATTATTATTACACACACATACATATAATTGAAGTCAAATTGATTAACCCTCCTGTGATATGTTGATTCTTTTTTTAAATAATTCCCAACAGAGAGATTTTTTTTCCAACACATTTTTAACTTGGTTTTAATAACTAATTTCTTGTTTTTTTGCCATGGCAAGAGTACATCATATTTTTTAGTTATTTTGCAAGAAAGTATTCAGCTTAAAATGCAATATAAGAATTTTTAGGTTGCAATTTAAATATAATTGTCATTGTCCTTAAAAAAGCGAAAAAAAAAGAGAAAAAAGGGAAAACTGCTTTCATTCCAGGCAAATTTGACAAAATACAAACTTCACAGTAGTGCTAATAATTTTGACATTAACTGTATATATAAAACCATAATGTGTTAAATATTAAAAAACTAGATTAGAAGATAATTTAGCAGCAGAAGTAATTTTTGATATTTAATATAGATAAATAAATGTAAACATTAAAATATAAAATGTAAACATTATAAATTTAAGTATTTAGTTGGGAGCAAATAAAAAATGTATAGCTATAAACTTTAAAAAAAGACACAAATTTGTTTATGAAAAGCTAACTATAGAAGCAAATGCATTTAAGTTATTTTAATTTAAATGTATAGCAGTTTTAGTTTTTGAGCCAACAACATATGATGAATGGGATAGAACAAGATAGACTATACATATTTATTTTTATTATAATACAAAAAGCTCCAATTTAGAAGGGCGCATACAAATAAACAGCAAGTCATTTATTTATTTATTTAAATTATAATTTAATATTTAAGAAATATTATTTTTGAAAAACATACTCCAGTAATCTAAAACAGCTTTTGTTTTTATGTGCATGTACTACACATGAAGCAAGACTGCACACTGATGCAACAGCTTTAAATCTAACAATATTGTGATATGTTTGAGTCTTAAATTATGACAAACTGTGTTTATCATCTAGTAGCCAAATATTGCAAACAGGTGTAAATCTAAAGGATTTGGATTTGATTCTTTTAAAATGGAATTCATCCATCCATTCATTCATTCATTAATTTTCTGTCAGCTTGGTCTCTATTTCAGAGGTTGAAATATTCCATATTCTAGTATATGTTTTCTGCAGTGGTGTCCTTTCAGCCGCAATCCAGTATTAGGGAAACACCCATACACGCACTCATTCACACACTACAGACAATTTAGTTTACCCAGTTCACCTACAGCACGTCTTTGGACTGTGGGAGAAACTGGAGCACCCGGAGGAAACCCACACAAACACTGGGAAAACATGCAAACTCCTCACAGAAACACCAACTGGCCCAGCTGAGACCAGAACCAGTGACTTTCTTGGATACCGTACTGCCTAAAATACATTTAAAAGCATCAAATCAAAATCCTTTAAGAAAAGTTTAGTTCGGTAAAGTTCGTTATAATGCATGTTGCATGCTTGGTTGTAAGAGAATTATATACAAGCAATTTGCACATTTACAAAAGCATTTTCCTAGACATAATCATGCACAATTGTGTAATGAATACAAGACGGATTAGTCATGGACGTGCAGGTTTACCATCAGCATTAGCTGTTGAACTTTGTTTTCTTGCGCTTAAGATTCTCCTAAATACAGCTACCCTTGATGCCAGCCTTCAATTAAAGATAACGATCACTATTCTGTCAGCAGGACATTGTTTGTGTCACAAAGCTTAGTGTTTCCTCTTTAGGAGCAAACAGCATGGGATGCTTCGATTTTCCTCATCTGTAAATCAATGGCAGCAGGCAGACAGCCGGAAATGTATTGTGCTGTGGAGAAAGT